CGATTCACTCTCCAACCCTTATCAAAGACCCAGGACTGATAGAAAAATTTTGAAAACTAACCATTACAGTTAGGATAAACAGTAAAAAACTTCGGTTGCTCATTCTTCTTTGAGCCCTTCCTCTTAGCTGAACCAGGCTAAAACCACCATAATTTTAGTAAGTTTTAAAATGGTATCTAACAATCTACTTGCGTTCTAGTGATACCTGATCCATGGGAACTGATTTACTATTCTCCAACCCTTGATCACAAATCAAACCCTAAGTAGGATTCAGTAAACTTTCCCAAATTTTCTTCACGAGAATGTAAACATCATTCTAACGATCTGATATACTCTCTCTCCAACCCGTCAACTTCGACAATCTATGCCACAAGATTAGGACAACCCGCAAAACGTAAGAACTAACAGTTTAAGAAACAAAATTCTAGCCCCTGAATTTCGCATCTTTCATCCTAATTCTTATGTCAAGAGATAATTTTTAGGTATTAAACAAACAATAATACTTCAAAAATGTTTAATTCCGAGCGAAAGATACGATTTCGAAATTACACCACATATACAATTGAAAGGATATACTAGATCGAAAAGACAAACACGGAAAAAGGTAAAAACTGCAAAACAAAAATAATTTATAAACTGAAGATATTCAAAAATACGTTACGAAGTTACGGAATTAGATACAACTACAATACAAGAACTACAGGACCTAAAAGACTCATTACATAAAAACAACCCAAAAAACGAACAAAATTTCCACAACACCATCATCGACAAAAGGTAAAAGTAGAATAAAAAATCATATGTTCGTAAGCTAGTACGAGTATATTATTGGAATCAACCGAAAGGACATATTGAAAATTACACATTAAGAGTACTACAATATATAAATTTACTCAATACGACAAAAACAGACAAAAGTTTTGACGACGATTCTATACTTCCCTTTGTCATCCATCCACAAAGTGATCCTGTTAGAGGACAGGTACAATTTTGTCATGATTTAATTGCAAAGTTATTTGAAAGAGGAAATAGCCAATGTAAACAGGAATTTCCCGAAGTCAGAAATAGAAGACAAGTACTTGACCAATATTGGAGAAGCATCTGTAAGAGAAATTCATGTTACGGAATATTTTTTATTGAAATCTTGCCATCACAAACAAATCAAACACTACATCAAATACACACAAATGACATAGATTCGGCCTTCTCAAAAATTTTTACAGAATATATATATAGAATATACAACATCAAAATTCACAAGGAGCAAATAAAATCTTTACAAACGATGTTTTCTCCATTACTTATAGTTATATATCTATATTAGAACAAAAAGAAACATAAAGTGAATCACCAGCTCAACTGTAACACAAGAATTTAACTTTTTCTCACAATTTCTAAATACAATTCGTGAAACACTCACTAACAAAGAAACATTACACAATGTGAAACATGATCTATAACGAATTCTAGCATGGTTCATAATAGACTACGTTGTTCACAATTTAGATTTCATTTCAAAATCAAGACAGAATTTTCGACCTCAAATCTCAGACGATGGAATTATTCTAGCAGATCGAACAGATTATGTTTGGGGCCCTGAATGATCTCATATATTGTTTGTCAGCATCACCACTGATATTTCGAGAGCAACAATTGCCACTTTTTCTGTACACAAAAACTATTTAATAGTTACTCCACTCACTATTGATGCAACACCCTTAAATTATAACACATTGCCTAACGATAGAACAGGAAAAAATAGTTTGAACTCAACGTTTATAAATACACAAGAAACCCCGAGTGGAACTGGGAATCTTACACAGCAAGCTATTTGAACCTCAAAATGTTCACAAATGGATTATCAAACCTGACGACCAATAACCACGTCACGACAGTCAAACAAGTAAAAGTATCGAAATAGGAAGAAATTTGCAAACCACAACCACGATTTTTTTGCAAACAATAATTCAAATAGAGCATTAACAAAACCCTCTTACGCAACGCGTCATCAAAATCAATTACAGGAACAAAATTACAATAAACAAAGTTTTTTTCTAATGATTAACAGTCCGTTTTTTCTAATGATTAACAAAAAAACTACAGCAGACCGCAGTGAAATTTACCCAATTTTTCGACAAAACAGAATTCCATCGAACAAATCACAAGAAATCAAACTACTCAGAAGATGAAAACTCCATGACATTGAAACTCTGGAATGGCAAATCTATTGGTTTATTGCCGTAGTCACAACCCTCACAGGACTTAAAGTTTGGACTCAACCTCGCAGCGGAGGAAACCCTTGAAAAAGACCAATGGCTAACTCGATGTTGATCTCACAAAGAAAAGTCGACCTTTATCTAGCACGTAGTCTCGCTCTAAGCTTGACAAAATCGACCTCAAATCTCAGACAATGGAACTATTCTAGCAGATCGAACAAATTTTATTTGGGACCCTGAATGATCTCATTTTTTGTTTGTCAGCATCACCACTGATATTTCGAGAGCAACAATTGCCATAATTTCTGTACACAAAAACTATTTAATAGTTACTCCACTCACTATTGATGCAACACCCTTAAATTATAACACATTGGTTAACGAATGAACAGGAAAGAATAGTTTGAGATCAACATTTATAATTACACAAGAATCCCCAAATAGAAAAAGAAGTCTTACACAGCAAGCTATTTAAACCCCATCACGTTTTGCAAACAAAGAAACAGTTGAAAAAAACCTACAACAACACAACAGAGTTTTTCTCTTATTAAACCAACACTTACGGCACCATACAATAAGAATACTCCATTTCCACAAACAGCTATTCAATCAAAAATAAAACCATATGTTGTTCCAAAACGTTCACAAATGGATTATCAAACATGACGATCAATAACCACGTCACGGCTATCAAACACACAAAAGTATCAAAAGGAACAATTTCGCAAATCACATTTATAATTTTTTCGCAAAAAATAAAATAAATAGAGCAATAACAAAACCCCCTCACACAACACGTCATCAAAATCAATTACAAGAACAAAATTTAAAAAAAATACCACTACCAGCTCCCCAATCCGTTTTCTTTAATGAACAACAAAAAACTACAGCAGACCGCTGTGAAAACTGCCCATTTTTTCAACAAAACAGCATTCCATCAAACAAACAATTCATAATAAATCATCCACACTATTCAGAAGATGAAAACTCGATGACATTGAAACTCTGGAATGGCAAATCTATTGGTTTGTTGCCGTAGTCACAACCCTAACAGGATTTAAAATATGAACTCAACCTCGCAGCAAAGGAAATCATTGAAAAAGACCAATGGCCAACTCGATGTTGATCTCACATACCGATCCTAGTCACTTGGCCCTTCACACAGATATTGCACGTAGTTTTGCTCCAAGCTATACGCAATCAACACATCATTGCATCAATCTAGAACCTTGACACAATCACTCAAGACGACCCACGATCAAACGAGACCCACTTCTGGAACACGAACAACTGTTCTCCTTTCTACGTAGCAACTAAATCTCTCCTCTCTTCTCGAGGTCACTGCTCCAACTATTCAAAAGAAAAAAAACTCCGAAAAATAAGAAATCTCTCCAACCGTCCTTCACTACAATGAACAAATTAAAAATTAAACCTCTCAACTCCGGATGGGTGGAACCAGTTCTAATTTTACATTATTGATAAAACTATCCCTATAAAATGTTACTAACTAACCAATCATATTCCATAATTAACGCTGACAATTGTTTGTAGTGCTGAAACCACTTGTAGTTTCAGCACCAGAATAATTTAAATAAATTTTAGAAGACAGTTGTTCTCCTTTGGACAAGTTCCATAAACCTAACCCGCAATTACCAGTATACGCTAGATCTATTGAGACTAGGAGATATAAGAGTATGATTAATATTGGTATTAGAATAGGAAGTTGCACGAATCTCTCCGGCCTAAAATATGATTAGCGTGACGAAGAAACGGGGTACCTCATCTGAAATTACTCTATGAGAAAGCTACCTCTGGCTTAAATTCACCGTCTTAGAAATTGTTCTAAATTGGTTGAAAGATTCTTATTTGCTGTAATTGATTTGTTACAAGGAGCGAAATCTATCCTTTTGTTCTTTATATGGCGTGTGGGGGGATGATTTTCATAAAAAAATCAAAATTTAGAGAAAAAAAATTTCACTTTATTTTTTAGGTTATTACTGCTCCATAAAACTTAAAAGGCAGTCGGAATATTCAGGGAGCCCTGATACGAGCAATCTTGTTTCATTTTAAATTGCGGCAGCTTAGATTTTTGAAACAAATGTAAATTGATTTTGAATTTTTATAACCGAGACATTTCTTCAAATGAAAAAAGAGGAAATTCAGATCATCGCTCAGCAACTTCTTTTAATGCAAGCACTTGCGCGCTGTTATCTCAAACACAAGCGCAGCGGTCTTAGTAGTCGTCACCTCAAAGCCGTAATCTTCTTGGAATAATTTCAAGAGTTCTCACTCTGAGTTGCGAGCTGAAGAGGCGGAGGAAAGATGCGACAGCGCACTCCGTCTCCCCCACCCCCGTCAAAGTACTGACTGCCAAGTTTTCCCAAAGGATCCTTTTTTGATACTATTTTATGACAGCCGTTTCTTGTTGATAACCCTAAAAATTTCGGAAGCCGCCTTCCATGCCACTGTAAACTAGTTTTTAGGGTTACGGCGAAACTCACGAAAACTGCAATTCACAATGTATGCTCAAAAACGAAAAAAAATTCAGAAAATTTTGCCAAATACCATCTATTAAGGATTTCAGCGGAGCTCAAAACACACAAAATGGCTTTTTGATCTAAAAAAAATCTCGCGTCAACATTTTTCAAACCCCTCATTCCAGCATTTTTTTGTTTTTGTATAACTTTGTTCTAAAAATGCTTTCAGATTAATCTCAGAAAACGAGCGTGATCTCAGCTTCGGAAGTCAAAGGAGTTTTCCAAATAATTAAATTACAGGCTGGTGAATTATTATTGTACCTGCAACTTCAGTTAGTTTTGATGACAAATAAGTGACACGATTATGTAATTTGAAACTATGGATATGTAATGATCAAACTAATCACATCAAATCAATCGAACTCTATTTCAGATCGACTTCAGTTATGTCACTACCTTTGGTATACATTTTTCAGCCATATCCAGCTTTTTCCGGAGAATTTTTTTCTACTTAATCTCAGAAGTAGATTTGAAAGTTCGGCCGTTTCAGGCGGTGTTAAATATGAAAGAAAAATTAAGTTTGTCGTTGGTGTGTTGGCTTTTTCGTGTGTTTGCTTGTTGGTTTGTCTTAAAGTAGCAAGGTACAGATGGCGTTGTGTCGCGAGTGTCTCAGTTTCTATTGAGAGCTCTTCTGTAAAATGCACGTTTCTTGGGTGCTAGATGTTGTTTTTGTTCTTCTTGGTCAATTTTGGTAGTCTGATTGTCCATATCTTCCGTATGGCAGTAGCAACCCACTGACAACACAGTCGGAATGATTACGACCGCAGGGCCTCCGTTCTCACAGCTGTCTTGATTGCATTTTTTGATGATGTCATAAGGAATTAGTTTTGGTCGACACACACCAGTTTTCAGAGTGCAATCATAATCCCTCACCACACATTTTTTGCAGTCGCATACTAAAAAATGTTCAGAATCTCCCCATAAACTAACCATGTAGAAAGTCAACCGCTCTAATTTTAAACCGGCATAATTAGGCAGTAAATCACCCTTGTTCAATATACTTAATTCTCATCGGCTAAAGAAAGAAGATCTTGACCAAAAAAACTATCACCTTCTAATTTGTTATGTTAGTCCTTGTACCGCTGTGGAAGAAACTTGCAGATACATTTTAAAACGACAACCAACTTTTACCAATTTTTAATAACAAATTCAGTGTTCAAAAAAAGCAATTTGATGTCCCATTCTTATACCCCACGTTAATTAACTCTAAGTTATTTAACCCCCTATGTTTAGACCTCCTATTTTATAACACCGTAACACCGTAACAAGATAACCCCCAACATTTTAACCCTTTTTAATACCAATAAATTTTTTTCGAACCATAGTAGTATTCTATTAATATACTCGTTGAGTCCAAAGAAGCCTTAATTTAATTTTGATGCCTTTAATCACTCAAAAAAAATTGCATTTCGATTAGGTATTGATATATAATTCATTGACGCATTCAAAACAGAAAAGACTTACAAGGGACTAGTGCGACTTTCATTTTAAACTATACTGCTTTACGCTGAAACCCTACTTGAAGCATCTCCCAAAGACAACAAAAACTAGTAAGATTAAGCCACGAATATAAAATTTAACTTTAAAAAATCTTAAAATGTAATTGGCATATAAAATCATAACAATTGTTTTTTTTTGGTTAATTGATTGAATCATACCGGTCGCATTAGTTATACGCTAGAAGTTGGACGATATGGTACCGAACCATTTAAAGAGGATTCTGATTCTAACAATTGATACTTAAAAAAGTGAAAATGTACTGAGGTTGCCAATTTCTGGAGTTTAATGAGACTGGGTTAAGACAAAGAGAATTCAAAGACGCTGGCTTATAAGCGAAGGAACTAGCGTTTTATTTCTTGTTTTTTTTTAAACATTGGCTTGCAGTTAAGACTTTTTCGGCAGTCTTAAGACTAATTTAATAGACCTCGGATAATCAATCAAACAAACCTTATTGAAGGTCAACAAAGGGTTCGAAACTGTTTTCTGAAAATCCGCCTTTTTTTGAAAAAAACTTTTAAGACATTTTTCTGATGGTTATTTTCAAGTTCAAAACTGTTTAGAAAGATCAGATTTAAAAAACTTGAAAAATAATTTTTAATTCATAAATCATCCTTTTTATTAATAAATTCAATAAATCAAATTTGAAGATGACTAGGGTTTTTCGATGCCAAAGGAAAAACTTTTTTGAATCTCCTATTTAAGAATTATTATCATGGACACTAACAAATATCAAAAACCACCCAATTTGATGGAAAAATGCAAGTGGCTCTGAAGGAAGCACAAACTGGTATGAACACAAAACCTATCGCTGAGAACAACTAACAAACTTTTTTCTACTGTATTTGTTATTTTCAAAATTTTGATGGTATCGTTATTTCAAGATTTGGTTTCTGTAATTCAATAAGACAATCTCACTTAAAGTAAAAGTAAGTTTAAATAAATTGGGCAACATTAATACAGTGATAATTTGAAAAAGTGAGTTTGAGGACTAGCTTTTCTCGACCCAGAAAGTACTTCTCTTAGTTTTCTCGGAAAAGAAACCTGGGTTAAAGGGAATTTACTACGATGACACAATTGAAACCATACAAAAATTCTTTGAGATATCTTTTTTTTCGCAAAAAAGATACAACTTACCTGCCCATAGCTATACTTATACATTGATACTGTTGCTTTAAACTCCGTAAAGATCTGTAAGTACTTCCCTTGGTTAAATCTTCTTTGTACGATAGTGTTTCTGGAAAGACAAACTGAAACGGATTTAAAATGATTTTCATTGAAAAATGTTTATCAGTTTTTTGTTTAAGAAATCTACTTGAATCTATTGATATGGACTCAATTAAAACCATCTACATCTTACTTAAATCCGTCCACATGTTACTGAAAGCCATTTAAAGCCCTTTAAAAAGACTTATGAGCAGATCAATTTTATTGTTCAAAAAATCAATTTGAAATCAATTTCAGCATATCCTTTATATAACAAATCAAGAAAATGGTCAATATAAATCAGCGAGCAATTCAAATTATTCCAAACTGGAATGAAATTTGTATTTTAAAAAATATTTGGTTTATTATTATGCTAAATCAGGGGCGGATCTAGGATTTTCTCGAGGGGGGGGCGGATTTTCGAAAAATTTTGACCTTTTTTTTTTTTTTTTTAGGTCGACCAAATTGATTTTTCGAGCTCTCCCAGAGCACTGCTTTGCCCCTATTTTGGCAAAATTTTCTGCGCCGCAGGCAAATTTTTTAAAAAACAGTCAAAAAAGCCGTTTTTGGGCAATTTTTGAAAAATTTTGACAAAAAAATCGCATTTTTTTTGGCGCGCGCTCCCCCTCAAAGTTAGTATATATTGGCGCCGAAGGCGCCTTTAGAAAAATTTTAGGGTCGATCCGCCAAAAATGGATTTCTGAAAAAGTATCAAAGGGGGGACCCTTTGGGTCGGCAGGGGGTCGAATCCCTGAGGGGGGGGCGTCCCCCCCCCCCTAAATCCGCCCCTGTGCTAAATGCTACCAGACGCTATGGATGTAAAACTAAAAATAATTGGCACTGAATAATTGCAACACAAACCCAAAACGTAAGAAATCGAAAAACTCGAAAAAGCAATCGATTTAAATTGATTTAAACCCGTTTTAAACCCCCAGAAAAAAAACAACTAAATACTGGACAAAAAAGAATTCGAGTCGACTTAAAATCAATTTAGGTCAATTTTTTTTAGCTGGGACTTAAGATCAATTTGAAATGATTTTTTATTTTGATAAAATTAATTTTTTCCTCTTCTATTTAATCTTTATAAATTTTCATGCTAAAATCGATCTCAATTTGTTCTACATTCTTTTTTCACGCTAAAATCAAATTTTGATCCATTTTTGTCAGTGCGGGTCTGGGAGTCAAAGCTTGCTTGTGTCTTTATTCTGCTTAAATTCCCTTAGCGATCCCATCTGCCCCCCTCCCCTACACGCTCAAATCTGAGGCCCCTGCTTACAATATTTGAAAAAGCTGTCTTCCTCCTTATATGTATGGCTTAAGTTCTCTCACCTGTGTGGTTTAGAGGACAATTAATGCATGCGTTTGCGTTGTTGAGGCTCTTCTGTTTTGTTTTGCACCCTGTGTCCACTACGTCCGCGCAGTTCTCTGTGATCTCCTCATCCGAATTCATAATTTCGTCATACGCTTCTGCATAACACAAAAACCCCGCTTGAAAACCTTTCCAAAAAAATACAATTTTTTGTGACATTTGCATCGAACATTTGCGCTGCAATGTGCATTAAACATTGAAACAAAAAAATGTGTTTGCAGCTTATCAAAAAGAGATTTGAGCTATATAAACTTCATGTCTTAAACTTAAATACATTCTGTATGCAAGCTGAAAACATGAAATTTATATAGCTCAAATTTCCATTTGATGACTTAGAAAAAATATATTTGAGCTTAGATTTTTACTATAACAAGCAGAGATCAATTAGTAACTCCTAGTCGAACGATCAGATATCTCTAGAGCTAAATGGCTTACATTAGCTATGTTAGAAATTGCCCAGGTTTTGTTTGATAAAGTTCCAATCACTCCAAAAATGTTTATAACTTAACTGACCCATGAAGGTTTTCGGGTTTTCATCGATGTTCCCCCAGTAGTCGTCATTTGAACAGACAGAGTCATTTAGTTCCTTCATTTCTCCCACCTGAGCAGCCGAAGAGCACAAAACCCAGAGCACAATTGCGACACACCACGCAGAAGCCTTGTCTACTTTTGACCTGTTCACTCTCGCTTTCCTGTTTAGTCCCATTCTGGAGTTCTTCAGATTGGTCATGATTTTTGTGGCTGAAATGCTTTCTAGTTTCACGATGAAAAGGTGTGAACTGCAATTACTCAACTCAAAATATGACTTTCTTTTTAACTGTCGTTTGATCACGATGATGTTATTATGACTATTACCAGCCGATCAATAAATGAGTCGTGCCAATGGAAATGCTAAGAAAATCAATAGCAAATCAAATTAAAACTGTGTTTTGTTTTCGAATACAGTCGATTTATTTGGATCAAAGATATTTTTTACCCCAAAAGCGTGACGCAACTAGCTGAAAGTCTGATGGTTTGTCTTTAACTTATAGATTTGTACTTCCTGGAAAACTAATATGAAAGCATCTGTCAATTTTTTTTCAGACACAAAGCTCAAAATATCAATAAATTATACCTAAATTTAGGCCAGATTTATTTTAAGATGGCGGAAAAAATCAACAGCGGATATAATTTACTTTTTAAATAAAACTTAATATTTAAATGTTTTCGAGGGAAACTCAATATGGGCGGCGGCCTTTCCTTAGATGTAAAGGCGAAATCAAAAATTTCTTCACGATTACCGTTAATGAAAGACAAAGAGTGAAAGAACTCATTTCGAGTAAGAATCAACTTTATTTTTGACTCTGTCTTTTGTCCTCTGTCTCTTGTCTCACATACTAGCGCTTAGTACACCATTATTTCGATTCGGCCATTTTTTACTCTCAGTTCTAAGTATCTCTCAGTATAGGGGGAGGGGAGGGGGGGGAGGGGGGGGGGGGGGGTATTAGGGAGGGATGAGCGTCTCAAAACTGTTAAAAGTTGGCACTCGATTAATTTTTTTGTTATCGGCACTTTTGAATGCACTTTTCTAGGATTTTCTCGAGGGGGGGGGGGGCGGATTTTAAAATTTTCGAAAACTTTGACGACCTTTTTTTTTTTAGGTCGACCAAATTGATTTTTCGAGCTCTCCCAAAGCACTGTTTTGCCCCTATTTTGGCAAAAATTTCTGCGCCGCAAGCAAGTTTTTGAAAAAACAGTCAAAAAGCCGGTTTTGGGCACTTTTTGAAAAAATTTGACAAAAAAATCGCGTTTTTTTTGGCGCGCGCTCCCCCTCAAAGTTAGTATATATTGGCGCCGAAGGCGGCTTTAGAAAAATTTTAGGGTCGGTCGGCCAAAAATGGATTTCTGAAAAAGTATCAAAGGGGGGACCCTTTGGGTCGGCAGGGGGTCGAATACCTGAGGAGGAAAGGGCGTCCGCCCCCCCCCCCCCCTAAATCCGCCCCTGATTAAGATATTTTCACAGGGCTGATTTAAACTGTCAGGAGAAAATAAACAAAACTGAATACCTTGAACGCTTTCTTATCAAGTTGGATTAAAATTAGACAAAATGTTGTTGTTATCTGTATAAAAACTATTAAGGTTTTTAAAAGAATTTATTTTTCAGATAGTCTCCAGATATTTGAGAAAAACGTTCTTTTAAAAAATTTTTAAATAAAAAATTGGTACTTAATTTGGCAATTTGATTTTTTTTGGCTAAAAAGTATTCATTTATTTGAAGATTTGAGATAAAACGGCTGCATAAGAAGTTGACTTAAAATGAGCCAAAAGATATTTTTGCTAGGAAAACATATAGCCTTCTAATTTTTCCAAAAATGTAAGGGTCAATTTGAGATTCCCTTTAGATAGATCAAAGTAAGACCCTCAACCCTAGGATTTATTTAGAACAAAATTTTTTAAGCGTTACGTGTAGCTTGCTTGTGATTGGCTACAATTTCAAACTCAGAATCATGTTAACATCCTGGCCCTGGACAAAAAAGTGGAGAAGATGTTGAGTTACTTGATTCAAATCTGAAAAATTTTTACTATCATTTTTTGTTCTAAAATAAACTCAATTTGCGAAAAAAAGCGTTTAAAGTTTCGAGTTTCGTTATTTTTGTTTGGTTAGCTTAAGCCAGTATTGGATTTCACGCCATCTGACTACAGCATGTAAGATAATGGCGACAGATCGTAAATGTAATTAGTTAAGGTTGGTTCGAGGAAGCTGAAGTGCGTTTTGTTAGTAGACGATCGCTTAGTCAGGCTCGTTAGTCATTAGATGAAGACTAAACCAACCAATCAAAACGAGAAAAAACAGTACCCGCAGTGAAATTCCATGGATAATACTCGATTTTAATCAATTTTTCAGGTCAAAAATTTTGGTATTATAATTGATTATAATGACTTACTGGGACCACTAACTCGATTATAATCCAGTATAAACGTTTTTTTTTTTTTCAAAAATTAAATCAATTATAAGCAATTTAATGTACATTATATTGAGTTATAATGGATTAAAATCTCTATTAGTTACTTCCAAAACTTCTGCCAAAGTGCAGATTTTTCTGCATCACTCACAGCCTAATCATTTTCTAAACTTGCTCCCACTTTGTTAATTTTTGAGAAGCCTGTATATCTCACACTTAATACCTAGTTCTTCTCATTTTTAGCACCCAAGTTAAACACGCCCATCTCCCATCACCCATATTGATACACAAACCTACCCCATCCCATTTGCCTTTATACCCCCACTTCTTACCCCCCCCCCCCCCCGCCTACCCTACCCCCTCCACACACCCCACCCCCACGTAATGTTTTGGGAGGGCGTAAATGTCTGCAGGGTGGTTGAAGGTGTGTCTGCGTGGGGACGGGCTCACGTTAACAATATTTGTTACATATTTTTACGGTAAACGTTAGTAAGCGGTATATGGTAGGCAGGGGGAGGGGGAGGTGGGGGTAACTGAAGGAAGTAGGAATAGTGTGATGTTTTTAGGTGGAGGGGACAATAAGGAAAAAAAGAATAAAACAAAAACTACTTTTTGCTGTTGCCAATGTACAACACTATTTAGCGATTACAATGTTCAAATTTTGAACATTTACTTTCAAAGTTTTGGAAAACCTATGCTCTTACTCATGAAAATCTGTTATAATCCACTATCATAAATATAAACCATTATAAACCATTTTTATTCATAATGGATTGTGCATGATTTCTAATTTATGTGTTCTATAATTAATCAGTAATCCATTATAATCGATCATTTTAGAGTTTTATGGAGACAAAACCATAAAAATTGATGATAATTGATTATTATTCATGGAACTTCAAACCTTCAAGTAACCGTACAAAATAAAAACTTAACATTTATTCATTTCGTACGATTCTTTTCTTGTGTCGATTTCAATTGGTTAATTTAGTACTTTTCTATTTAATGACAAGTATGAAGGCGCGGTTGTTTACTTACTGCTACCTACCCAAGAAAGCTACCCTACTTAGAGCAGTTTTGATCAACAGAACAGTTTAAAACATTGGAGAGAAAATAAAGTCAATACTTCAAAATTGTCTTGCTTTGTCTAAAACCACCTGTACTTAGAGGTTTTCGCGAAACAAAAATCTATTCAAACTAAAAATGAATTATTGTTTGTGTTATAGTGTAAATACTTAGGCCTGGATTTCAATATACTCAATTTGATTTGATTTGATTATGTGTCTGAGAATTATAAAATGGGCAATCATCCAACTTACCGAGGTTATGAAAAAATCAATGTAAAGAAAATCCACTTTTTTAAAAGGTTGCCAGCAGGTTAAAAGTTTTATTGAAGAAAATTAATTGGCGTTAAGGTAATGAATTTGCAAGCATGCGTCATAAAATATACAAAATTATCATCAAGGCCTAATTATCAAAGAAAAGTGGAGACATCAATGATAAACCGCTCCCTCATGTCGTCAGAAAATTTTGTTTGCATTTTGCCTCGAAACCATTTTTTCCCCATTCAATTTGGAATAGATTGGTAAGGAAAGGACGACAAAAACTATCTATAAAACCCGTCAGAATAAAAAATTATCAGCGGATCTACATCAAATTTTTTTCACCGAATCGGCTGTTTTTAGCCAGTAAATTTTTGGTCATGTGACGGACAATCTTTGCTATGGATTGTGTTTAATCTAATGAACTTTAAACTTAAAACCGAAGATTTTGACAGCCTTTTCATATTGTCTGTAAATATGGTTTTACTGAGCTCAAATTTGAAACAACTTTTGGCTTTAAATTTTTTTCAAAACTTTTAGAGTTTCAAAATAGCTCTTTATCAACTTGGAAACATCAACGTGCGTCATGTTGGGTTTTTTCAACACACGTTAGCGGCAAAATGATTCATTTCAAATTGAACTGAGGCAAGCAACTAGGTCCTATTAATACGATACAAGACCCTTATTGCGTCGCTTTAAAACTTAATAATAGATAGCGTGTCGGAAAAGAATAAAATAAAGCAAAAACATCAAGATTGATTAAAAATTTATTCAATTTTTTAAACTATTTCAATTATTTTATCATTTTTCTGACAAATTTATTTTTGGTAACCATTGTTTATATTAATTGTTTGAAAAGAATTGTTCTATTGAGCTCAAGTTTGAAAGTACTTTTTTGCCATAAACTTTTGTCAAAATGTTTAGTGTTCGTTAATTGCCATTTCCGCCAACTTGGAATCAACAACGTGCGTCATTCTACGTTTTTTCAACAAATGTTAGCGGCAAAATGATTCATTCGAAATTGAAGTGAGGCAAGCAATTTGGCCGTATTATTACGATACGAGACCTTAATTGCGTCATTTTAAATTGTAACAAAACTGCTCGTATCAGGGCGAAGCCCTGAATGTTCCGACTGCCTTTTAAGGTTTATGGAGCAGTAAAAACATTAAAAAATCAAATGTAATCAAACAAAATGAAAAAAAAAATTAAAAAAACTCTAAATTTTTTTTTTTTTAAGAAAATCATCCCCCCATACGCCATATAAAGTACAAAAGGATAGATTTCGCTTCTTGTAACAAATCAATTATGGCAAATAAGCTTCTTTCAACCAATTTGGAACGATTTCTAAGACGGATTAACTCTCCGCTTACACGTTAATAGCGCAAAATATATCGCGTGTTAATCATCCCAAATTGGCCAAAATGGCAATCTTTAAACCCCCGTAACTTTACAAAAAATGATCACAGGTGAAATATCTTTTCAAATTTGAGCTCAGGACAACAATACCTTTCGATTGATAGAAAAAAATTCCGTCAAAAATGGCTAGTTAAAAAGTCGAATTTTGTCTGAAGAAAAAAAACCCACCCCGAGCACAAATATTTCGT